CTAGGGAGGCCAAGGCCAAAGAGAGTTTGTTTTGAGGCAGAGAATCCATGTGTACTTGTGACCCTAGAACGTGACTTTTCAGGTAGACCCCAGGACTCTGTTGGGAAACATCACATGTTGAAAAATTCATTTGGGCTATGTATGTCACCTTGGAAAAATTTTCTCTCTCTCTCTCTCTCTCACACACACACACACACACACACACATCAAGGATTTAAAGTACACTAGAGGGCAAAATACTTCCTAGGCCGGCGCCGCGGCTCACTAGGCTAATCTTCCGCCTAGCGGCGCCGGCACACCGGGTTCTAGTCCCGGTCGGGGTGCCGGATTCTGTCCCGGTTGCCCCTCTTCCAGGCCAGCTCTCTGCTGTGGCCAGGGAGTGCAGTGGAGGATGGCCCAGGTGCTTGGGCCCTGCACCCCATGGGAGACCAGGAAAAGCACCTGGCTCCTGGCTCCTGCCATCGGATCAGCGCGGTGCGCCGGCTGCAGCGCGCCGGCCGCGGCGGCCATTGGAGGGTGAACCAACGGCAAAGGAAGACCTTTCTCTCTGTCTCTCTCTCTCACTGTCCACTCTGCCTGTCAAAAAAAAAATAAAAATAAATAAAAATAAAAAAAAAATTAAAAAAAAAATACTTCCTAGCCCATACCTACCAAGCAGTTGTCCTGCCTCTATTAGACAGGATGCTAGTTATCTCACAAAGCAGTTTTTCCATTCTTCAAAGTTTTTATTGTTTAAAAGGGACAAAAAAATCTTTCTTTCCTTGTAGTCTGCCACTTTAATTTTGAGTTTCTGCCTTTCATGGTCACCTAAGACAGGTATAGTTTTCTTCTTCATTGATACAGATATCTTAGGGAGAAAGATGTCCAAATTAATGTGCTATGATGAACATACTCATTCAATAGATATAGAAACTGAAGAATAAGGAGATTAAGTTTGGAACACCCTGACTTAGAAGTAAGGCCAATGTGTTTCTAAGAATAATTCCCTATCCAGTGACATTCCTGTTAGTATTACGACAAGTTTATTAGCCCTGCATTTTCCTCTTGTAAGTGAAGATAGAGATTGACAGAAATCCTCAGAAGGGTAGATACTCTGCCCTAGAGAAGGTGAGTGGGCTATGAAAGAGTTTGTGCCAACTAAGCTGACCAGAAATCATCTTGACGTCAATTAGGAGATTCTCCCAGAAGAGTCTAAATGACTGGGTAGAGCCAAAACACACGTTTGGGACTGGGGAAGAGCATCTTCTCAGGAGGACTTTCCATAGCTTCCTAGCTGGGAGCAAGGACAATGTTATTCCTCTTCCTTCTGCCTCCTACTACCCTCCCCTTACAGTAAGGCCAAATATCCTAGAAAATCTTCCCAAACCACCAAGAGCTATGCAGGGGAAACACAGGGCCATGAAGCAGCTTCTAGGCTGGTGGCTCCTTGAAAACCAGACAAATCAGAGAAAGAGATACAGGTCTTCCTAGTCTGAAATCTTAAAATTGCAATAATTTTATCTGCTTAGAATATGGGTACAAGGCCAGCTAGCACTGGAGGCTGCAGCCTTTGAGAGGAGCTTATATGTCCTCAGCCCTGATGACTCCTCTCCTCCAAGTTTTCTACAAGACTTTAGTGCCATATTAATGAGTAAACATTACCTTTGCCTTTCTACCTTGACATGCAACATAGAGGCTGGGGGGCAGAGTGAAAACAATCATGGTCCATCGTGAAGCTGATCTAAGTGTTAATCAAAAGAACTTTAGCAAAGGAAAAAAGCATAAAGTTCAGGGCTTTGGTTCTGAACTGTACTGTTGAAATTGGAAATATGGTATACACTTCTATTTGTCTTCCTACTTCCCTTCATTTATAGTGACAGATTTGATAACTGGGAAATGATTGTCCATTTTTTAAGCTTCATTTTAAAAAGCATTTTCATTTTACTTGAGAGAGAAAGGTCTTCCACCAACTGGTTCATACCCCAAATGCCCACAACACCTGGAGTTGGAGGCAGCTGAAGCCAGGAGTCAAGAACTCAATCCAAATCTCCCATATGGGTAGTACGGATCTAAGTACCTGAGCCATCACTGCTACCTCCCAGGTGTGCATTAGCAGGAATGTGGATCAGAATTAGTGGCAGTTCTCAAACATAGCACCCTGATATGAGATCTAGATATCCCAAGAGGTATTTAACTGCTACACCAAACACCCACCTCACTCCCATGATTGCCCACTTAAAGACTATGTTTCCCATCCTCAGCAGCTAGGGTTGGTGATAGAGAGCTATCTCATGTTGTGTGGATGATAACAACACACTAGTAGTAGCAAGGCAACAAGGAACTTGGCTTTCTCACACTAGACTGCTTACACCAGAGTGATTATGAGGACAATTCATTGATATCTGGGATCTGTGAAATAGTAGCCAAATCTGTCATTTTAATTTAACTAAATCAGAAAAGTTTTGGCTGCTTTTGAACATATTGTTTTAAATCTTGGAAAACTTACTCCCTCATTCTGATATGGAAGTCAAATTATGTTATCCTATGCTTTGGACTAGCTGGATGATACTAAGTGGATTATTTCTTTCCTAGATTTTCACCTGAAGCAACTTTTCTCACTTAGGATTATGAGCTATTTCTGCTAGGCTGTGCTACTATTTTACTTCTCTGTTTCCTTTACTGGAGTAAATGCAGGTTGGAAAGAGGGAATTATTTGTCCTTTAATTATGCACACCATAGGCCCAGTATAGAGCTACATATGTTTTTCTGTATGTATGCTTAAATTCAGATTCACTGTCTGACGTTATTAGTCTAAGAAATGGGCTCTAGATGTCTTTAGAAATTAGCCAAGCAGTGGGTGGTAAAAGGAGTCAATGCAGACACTACAGACTCATAGACCCCATACCTGAAGATCAGTCAATTTTCTGGCCATCAAACGAGCTGTGATTGGCAACGAACAAATGCCTATTAGTGAATTTTGTTTGGACGTGGGGAAAGAGATCATAGTTGGTAATAAGCCCCTTGGTTCTCCTATCTGTGATGAACAAGGGCTATTTTGGTTCCTAAAAGTTCTGAATTGAGTGTATCTAATAAAGTGATATCTCTAAAACACTGACAAATTGGTAGTAGAAGAAAATAAAACAATTAAAAAAAACTGGAAACATAATCTTGAGAAAGCACAATCCATGCAGCTTTTGACCAAAAATCTCCCTAGGAAGCATAGAAGATACTACTAACCTTGTGCTACTTTTCCTCTTCCTCATTACATACCTCACTGGTGAAATTCTAAGTCAAGAGTGACCTTAATACACAGGAAAGACTCAGGTAATTGAGAGTGGTGGGTGGAATGGGGAATTTTCCTCTTTACCCTGGCTTTGGCCTTTTCTTTGCCTGTTTAGAATAGACTGTGTCGGCAGGCGCCACAGCTCACTAGGCTAATCCTCCGCCTGCGGTGCCGGCACCCCGGGTTCTAGTCCCGGTTGGGGCGCCGGATTCTGTCCTGGTTGCTCCTCTTCCAGTCCAGCTTTCTGCTGTGGCCCTGGAAGGCAGTGGACGATGGCCAAAGTGCTTGGGCCCTGCACCTGCATGGGAGACCAGGAGAAAGCACCTGGCTCCTGGCTCCGGATTGGTGCAGCGCGCCGGCTGTAGTGGCCATTTGGGGGGGGTGAACCAATGGAAAAGGAAGACCTTTCTCTGTCTGTCTGTCTCTCTCTCTCTTTCTCTCACTGTCTAACTCTAACTGTCAAAAATAAAAAAAAGAATAGACTGTGTCAGACTGGACAGTCTGTGTCTGGACACTTCACTTGATATTGAAAGTATGTCTTGGAAACTAGGCCTAAGATATGCTGCCTAGATAGCAATATTCAATAACCTGGCAGAAGAGTTGAATGAACAAGAAGGAAAAATATGAGATTTCCTTGGCGTCATATAATTTTTATTCCAGCTCAGTGAGGTAGGTATCATGATACTCATTTTGAAGATGATGAAACTGAGACCCATGAGGCCAAAGTGATTTGCTTAAGATCACATTGCCTTGGGGGCTGGCATTGTGGTATAGCAGAATAAGCAGCCACCTGCAAGGCTGGCATCCCATATGAGCACAGGCTCTAGTCCTGGCTGTTCTACTTCCAATCCAGCTCCCTGCTAATGTGCATGGGAAATCAGTGGAAGTTCTTTGGCTCCTGTCAACATATAGGAGAAACATTCCCTTTATCTACCACACACATCCCTTTCCAGAGCATTACTACTGAGCAATGAAGCATAGGAAGGCATAATCTTAGAACTAAATAAGAACCCATTCTTATTCTGCTGTTGGATTAAGGCTAAAGAAAGAGGGAGAGTACCATTTTGTCAGCTCTTATTTCTCATGCACCCTAACACTTCATATTCCTGCATCAGAAGTCGAGTATGTAAGTGGCAGGTAAGCTAGGAAACTAGCAATGGCTGGAAGCTTTTCTGCTTGAAAATAATGCATAGACAAATAATCCAGAAAAGAGTACTGTCTTCTCAATGTGGCAAGGTAGGGAAGTCACATTGTCTTTGAACCACCCGATGACACTGGAGTAGGGGCATGATGAGGCAGACAGCCATAGCTGTGCTCAGAAACTGTTTGATGATATCATATGTCCAACATTTGAAGTGTTCTACAAGGAGTGGATAATGATTGGCCATCGAAGACAATGCAATCCTTTCTTCATAATCTATTTCATGTAGGGAAACAGGCACTGCAAAGGATTGTTGATTCTCCCTACATCAAAATAACATTTTCTCAATAAGAGGAGACCAATTGAAGGTATCTAGTAACAGAAAATGGCAGAGAAAAAGCATCAGATCTCTGAAAATTCTGTAAGCATATAGAGTTGATCATCAAATTCTAGGTGACCAAAATGAACTTCCAAAACCACTGCTTCTACATAACAAAGGTAGTTTCCATCAGACTCCTGCTTTGCACCTCTTTGCTAAAAACACTGATACAGGAACCCAAACAGAGCTATTGCATGTCCTAAATCCCAAAAACTTACCATTGACAATTAGTTGTATTGTGAGGTTTTTGTAGAGATCATGTTTGGTATTGCTCAGGGCAAAAGTATAGTTCCCAGCATGCTTTGAATTCACTTCCAAGATCGTGAGCTTGTACTTAAGAGGGTCAGGCTGGAAGGTATGATTTACAGGGAGTGGTTTTCCATCTTTGAACCTGTGAAGCATGCAGGAGGAATTATTAGTACAATACTTGCCTCTAGAACATTCAACCTCCTACTCTGGAGACACATCAGTGAAATCTCTCCCCCCCCAATAATGCCCTGGTGGAAACAGGACAGCCACACTGGAAGTAAAGATGGAACCTGCCCCTTCCTTTTTCCCAGTGGCCAAAACTCAGAAAATGCCACGCATTCATGCTTCCACTTCCTCACAACTCATCCATTCCTTTTCCCCTTATACTGATATTTTCCTCCATCTCATTATTTTAAAATCATCTTCTCCCAAGTTTATCAGTAATATCCTGTATACAAAGCCAATGCTCTTCTTTTGGCATTTATGAACTCAGATCTTCTAGGGTATTTGGCCTTAGCACTACCACTTTCACATTCCACCAAATTTGAAAAATGTAAAGGACTTCAGAACCATGGGTTTTGATTAGTACATATAATTGGATAAAGAAACCTGAGAATCTCTGCTATGTTTCCCAAATACATTCCTTGTTATATTTACAATGCAGTCAGCTTATTAAGGCCTACAGTATGTCTCACATGTTCTAATGCTATAACTTTCGGTACCTATAGTTATTTCTCTAGTCTTTCTCCATTACAAACCATTATATATGCATAAGGTCACATTAATCTTTCTAAAACTTAGCTTCACATACAATACTTCTGACTCTCGAAATTTGAATTCAGGCTATTGAAAAAAGCAATAAAGATAAACACAATAGCGGTCATTTATTTTATCTGATTCCCAAACCAATCATGTAATGTAAATGTCATCATTAAGATTTTATTGATAAGCCACTATGGAAGTCAGTCTGGAGATGCCTCAGAAACCTGAATATAACCCTACCATTCAACCCAGCCATCCCACTCCTTGGAATTTACCCAAAGGAAATTAAATTGGCAAACAAAAATGTTGTCTGCACATTAATGTTTATTGCAGCTCAATTCACAGTAGCTAAGACCTGGAACCAACCCAAATGCCCATCAACAGTAGACTGGATAAAGAAATTATGGGACATGTACTCTATAGAATACTATACAGCATTCAAAAACAACGAAACCCAGTCATTTGCAACAAGATGGAGGAATTTGGAAAACATCATGCTGATAGAATTAAGCCAGTCCCAAAGGGACAAATATCATATGTTCTCCCTGATTGGCGACAACTAACTGACCACCAAAGGGGAAACTTGTTAAAGTGAAATGGACACTATGAGAAACAGTGACTTGATCAGCTCTTGTCCTGACGGTTGATGTACAATGTAATACTTTATCCATTGTAGTATTTTTTCTTTGTTCTAGTAACATTGGTTGAACTCTGTAATTAACACACAATTATTCTTAGGTGTTTAAATTTTAACTGAACAGTGATTCCTGTTAGGAATTTGGAAAACATTATGTTGAGTAAAATAAGCCAATCCCAAAGGGACAAATACCACTTATTCTGCTTGATAGGTGACAACTAACTGATCACCAAAAACGAAACCTGTTAAAGTGAAATGAACACTATGAGAAACGGTGACTTGATCAGCCCTCACCTTCACTGTTGATAAGCAACTTGATATGTTATCCCTCTTAGTATTTTTGTTTGTTTGTTCTACTTAATACTTTTGGTTGAATACTGTAATCAATACACAATTCTTCTTAAGTGCTGAAACTTAACTGAAAAGTGATTGCTGTTAAATATAAGAGTGGGAATAAGAGAGGGAAGAGATGTGCAATTCAGGACATGCTCAAGCTGACTTACCTCAAACGGTAGAGTTAGGAACATACCAGGGGATTCGAATTCAATCCCATCAAGGTGGCATGTACCAATGCCATCTCACTAGTCCCAGTGATCAATTTCTGTTCAAAATTGATCACAATGATAGGACTATGAACCAAAGGGATCACATAAACAAGAATAGTGTCTGCAAATACTAGCTGATAGAATCAAAAAGGGAGAGAATGATCCAACATGGGAAGTGAGATACACAGCAGACCCATAGAATGGCAAATGTCCTAAACAGCACTCTGGCCTCAGAATTAGCCCTAAAGGCATGTGGATCCGGCTGAAATGCCCATGAGAGTATTTCAGGCATGGAAAGCCAAGACACTCTGGGGGAAAAAAAAAACCCTACATGAAAGATCTCTGTGAGTGAGATCCCAGTGGAAAGAACGGGTCATCAAAGAAGGAGGTACCTTTCTCTGAAGGGAGGAGAGAACTTCCACTTTGACCATGGCCTTGTCTAAATATGATCAGAGTCAGTGAACTCAGGGGGCTTCCATAGCCTTTGCAGCTCATGACAAGAGCCTAGGGTGATTACTGAGGCCATAAACAAG